CAGTTTCGTCTATAGCAACTTTTCCATCACCGATATCTAAGAGTTGTTTTGAAAATGTTTCAGCGGATGGATCTTGAAGCATTTGAACGCGCATATTTATTTTTAGCTGTAATTTTTCAACATTACGCCACAATGGAGATGATTTTAAGCAAGCGTTGATCTCATCAGCGTATGTTGAACGTGGAATGACTGGAAGTGTTTGTCTGAAATCACCTGAAAGGACCAACAGAGTTCCGCCAAATAGTTTGTCACTGTTTTTAATATCTTTCAATGTCCTGTTCAACGCCTCAAGTGAATGTTTGTGTGCCATAGTACATTCATCCCAATAATAATTTTACACCGTTTCAGCACAGTGGTCATGGACGATTGTTTCTTAATGTTGCATACTGCGTCAGGGTTATTCTGAATATTTAGTGGCAGCTTAAATACTGAATGAGCTGTTCTACCTCCATCCAATAAAGTTGCTGCAATGCCCGATGATGCAACGGCCAATGCGATGCCATTAGTTGATCGTATTTCAGCAAGAATTAGCGAAATAACGAATGTTTTGCCAGTTCCACCCGGTGCATCCAAAAAGAAGAACCCACCTTGTCCAGCTGAAACTGCGAGCATAATGCGATCATAAATGGTTCTTTGTTCCTCATTCATTAGTGGGACATTGCGGGCAACAATCGCTGCCATTTCTACAGTACTGTACTGCAGTTCACGATTCATTTCAGTATTCATTAAATCAGATGCAGTTCGATTTGGCGAATTCATACCGAAATTACTAAGTGGTAAGTTGGCAATGACAATGCAAAGATCCTCAATAGCAATCAATGCTTCATTGTACATTTTATCGCTGAATGTTATGGTTAGATCGTGGCACCGTATACGATGTTGATGCAATATATCATCAGTCATTGAATCTTTGTGATTTTCCCATAATATCTGTGCTCGGGCTGGGAAACATGTAGTCAACACTATAGCGAATAGTAGACGAATTTGTATTGCTGTACAGTTCAATGCAGCTTCAGCAAGCATGCATTCCCACTGGTTGTCGTCTTCCAGCAAGCCGAGTGCAAGGCATGCATCTTTATACGTTGGATATTGTTGCCCATTCACTTTACGTATATCTTGAAATGATAATGGGCCAGTAACATTAACCAACAACAGTCGAAGATAAAAGCACTCCGTGTGTCTTGGATTGACTGTAAATAATCGCCCCAAGGCGTTTGATTTAAATAAATTGAGACATGCAGCAACTGGTGAGCCTTGCTTGCGGGGCATCCATGTTTTTGTTTGAGTCCATGTGAAATAGCGTGGTACTTGTGATTACACAATTCAAAAAATGCAGTGAGTGTAGTTTTAGGTGGATTTATTGCACGATCAATCGCTGTCTCGTTCGTGAAAAATACACGCTGACCGTTTTCAAGATGGATGGCTAACTGAACAACTGCTGGATCCCGTTCATGAATTGGAAAACCAAAGATACGCCAAGCAGCTTCATTGGAGCTGATGTACCGACCAATTTGGTAGAGCGTTATTTCATCGTTTTTATTCACTGGAGGAGCATTCACATTAGTATTTTCCACTCTAAACACAGCCATATCACTGCCTTTATGGACATACTTGCAAATGTATTTGATGCTCTTCACAGAACTGCAGAACTCAACATTAATATGAGCATTATATGTCTTGCTCAGCAGAGGCGAATATGGCACCACCCAACAATTGTCAATATCAATGTCTGTGTTGATGATATTTTTAATAAATAATTGTCCGCCATTTTCAGGATTTCTTCGACGATATATTGGGTATCCGTCGACATTTGTGACCGTATCATTGGTAAAATCTTTAGGGAAATTTTTAGTACATTTTCCATCAGCCATGCAAGGCGATGAACTATTAAGAGTACCACATGGACCATGAATCATGTTTGTTGTAGCAATATCAAACAGCAGTTGGTCAGTGGATGGATCTGGAATTTCCGCAGAAATGATACTATCGATTTCTTCAGGACGGATTTTGTCGATGAACCAAACCAAAATGTGTGCATGAGGTAATCCTCGCTTTTTGCCACTCAACCGAATACATCCAGCAACGTGTGGGACCAAATACATGTGATTTAGTAATGAAACTTATTAAAGACTTCAACTTTTGTCTGAACACACGTGCTGTAATATCATGGCGATGTATTGCATTTTGGCCAGGCAGTAGCAAAGATGTAATCTCTGGCCATTTTGGATTACATGTGAACGTGATGAATAAACATGGTCGTCCATATTCGCGCACGAAAGTCAGAGCATCCTGTATATATTCTTGCATATGACGTGGACTGCCTACGTACGATGATGGTAAAATGACATGGTTACCAATTTCGGCGACGTCGGCGTTGTTGTTGATAGCATCTCGCAAATGAATGTACTCTTCCGCGCGCAGCTTTTGTTGATTATATCGTAAGTATCGTAGTCGTTCGCTCTCAATCTTCGCGTACATGTCAACCATGAATTGTTGACAAAGCTCACGACATCGTAAAATGACGTTGTCCAGTCCACGTCTAATCATTAATCGGTACGCATAATAATCCTTTGAGCTAACGTTCTTGTTTGTTTCAGCTCCTGTAATATTTGTTCATAAAAATTAATTTAAATTTATTACGTTCAATAATTTAATTGTTTTGTTAAATGATTAATGATCAATTTAATAATCAATGAAGTACCTGATACGGGATCTCGTTGTTTTATGTTTATGCAATATCCGTCTTGTCCCTTCCAGAGCGTCATATGAACGATGTGTGTCAGCAATGAACTGAAGATTATTATTTCTTCTAAGACTCACAATTTCTCGTGCAGCTGTACAATCGCCAACCATGATTCCAGCAACATCATCAACAATGGGTGCATTGAATCTACGAATATGCTCTCCAGCTGGTGTTTTATCAGGATTAATGACGATAGCGTGATTATCGCTTTGTAATTGGTGCATATGTGATTTGAATATTTTCAACAACTCGTTGTGCTCGTTCAAAAGACCATCTAGCTCGCTGACGATGCGCCTGGCATAAAGTGAATCAAGGTTATTATAATCACAACGTGCATTCACGCGATTGGCAAGTGCGCTTCCGGAATCCTCGCCGCCCATAAAGTAGATTTGTAAGAATTTATGTGGTTCGTTTGGCATTGGCAGCAGTGAGCCCATTTTATGATAAACTTGGCCTCTGATTTTGAATGTAGAATTGAATTGTTGACCATTTGCATTAGTATTTCGAACTATTTCTGTTGCTCCGAACGATGTCATTTGAAAGCATGAATTGAATCTTCGAATTGACTTCAGGAACATGTTAGAATCTGGATCCGTGCCGATAAGTAAGCCGTTCAATGGTTCAGGTGGTGTTTCAATTTCAGGTAGTTGCACTTTTCCTGACGCGCAACACATCCCAGCTGGCTCATTTTTGAATTTCAGAGCATGACAATGCGGACATTCCTTGTCCATAGCACCAATTACCACTTTTGAATGAGCATAATATTCAATATCGGGCTCATACTGGAATGCTAGACGCAGGAATGAATCAGATATAAATGCTCGATGTACCTGTTGTCGTTGTTGGTCATTTGTTCTTCGTCTACTGACTGTGAAACGGCGTGATTGTCGTTGTTCTAATCTTCTGACTTCATTGCGTTCAGCTCGTGTATCTTCTGGCTCTTCTTGATGCAATTGCGCCATTCTGACACGTGCATCAGTATTTTGTTGCTGGATTTGTTCTTCTGTTCTTTCGGATCTGCTATTTCGCAAGTTTCGAGCTTTACTTGTACTGCGGCTCAAATCAGCCCCTTTGCGTTTTCTTGGCATTGCTCACTGTACAAAACATACATACTCGTAAATAGAATTAATGAAATTATTTAATGATGAAAAATGTTAAAAGTATAATTAGGGCCAGGATTTTTGCCGCAGTTTTGAAATGATTAGTTTTAATTTATGAAATTATAACAAAAATATAAGTTTTATGGAAAAAAAATTCAAAACAAAAGTAAAAAATTTAATTTTATGAAAACATTGTCTCTTATAATTTTTTCATACAACCAATATTTCCATTGACATTTCAAAATAAAGATTCATAATGATTTATTTTTTGGAAACTATGAAAATCTTAATTGTTCAATTACATTTTTTTTAATAAAATTAAATTAAAATTACATTTTTATAAGATCAACAACATTTTCGATATAAATAAAAAAAGTATACTTACAACACAAAATCCGTTGTTATTGGAAGCTCGTGTCACGTGTTGAGTACTTTTGAGGATATAAAATCACTTGATTAACTAATCGTGCAAAATACACTCGAAATTGATAATTTAATTATTATTGATAAAATAGGAATGATTAAAAGTTAATATGAGAGTTACACTGAGATAGCAAAATAATAATTGTCAACGTTACTACTACAGTTGATGCATAAACAATAATGATGGCCGACAACTGTGTAGGGAGTGAGAAAGAAAGGAGACCGGCTTCGTTCTCATCCCTACTCCGTGCTGTTTACTGGGTCAGAAGTGACACCTGTAGACATCTGGCGGGGATAACTAATTAAATGACGATTGATCAGTTTTCGACCGGAGAGGAAAATGATTAAATTACTAAAATGGCTATTAAAAAATAAGGGTTGATCGTAGAAGGGTGAAAATTGAGGATTGTATGTATTTTTGTATGTTGTATCATAAAAAAATAGAAATGAAAAATTTTGTCTAAAAAAATAAAAAATAAAATTTAGGGGTGGACTACCCCTAACATTTAGGGGGGATGAAAAATAGATGTTGGCCGATTCTCATAGATACCGGATAAGCACAAAAAAATTTCATCAAAATCGGTCAAGCCGTTTCGGAGGAGTATGGCAACGAAAACTGTGACACGAGAATTTTATATATTAGATTTTACGTGTTATTTGTAATTCGTATTACAATTTTTAATTTTTTTTAATTTTTTACTGTCTATTGACCTAAATATTATTCCAGAATTGACATTTAGACATTCAATGTAATAGAAAATGATACCAAACTACTACACTACTACTATATACTTAAACCCTACGCAGTTATTAAACTAAGACTTTGTTAAGGCTAAAACCCTCACCACCTGCGTGAAAAATTCCGGTGGCTCTACTTCGAAAATCCATCTTAGAGATCCAAAGATCAATCCTGCCAAAGGAAATCTTTGGTTCAGTAAAAGCCATATTCTTTGTTTTTTTTTTATCGTGTACAATTGCAACTAGTTGGATTAGGCCAGAAAAGAACGATATTCTTAAATTGACAATATTAAAATTAATTCACTAGTTTATGAATATGAACAAAACGTAGTATTTTATACTCTGTGTGTGACTTTATGAAATAAATTATTGAATTCTTTAATGAAAATCCTTTACAAGTTTCATAAAAAAATGTAAGTGTGATAGCTCATAAGTATCTACAACACTATTATCAAATAACTGTGAAAGTTATTTCCAACGCTAGAGACATTCGATTCTTTACATTATGTGAAAAATGTAGGGACAGCTAAGCTCCTTACGGGAACACGGTAAAGTCATTTTTTTATAAATTACGTCACACTCATATCACTTTAACACCCAGAAGAATTACTTGTACGCCATACAAATACTTGTTCCTCAGCGCCGCAACTAATTATAGAGCCTCTGCACCATGGAGCCGTCCAATATAAATATTCTATAAATATCCGACTGAACCTAGAGGTCAGAGGCGTCATATGCCCAGGGTGTTATGTTTATGTATGTAATTCCTTTTTTCGCTAAAACAAAGCCACTGTAATCAAATAATACATACATAAAATAAACACTGTAAAAACAATTTTTATATAGTGCATTCACACATAAATGCTTGTTTGATTTGGTCAGTGTACGTTACTAATAACGCATTCTAAAATCTTTCAAAGTCGTATAATATAGATTGCATACAAATATTTACTCGTGTACTTTGTTACCAGGGGAGAATTTCAAACCCACCCACATCGCGCGTAATAAATTATTACATCTCGTTGCAGACTGCCCGCTCAGGATATATTGTTACGAGCTTAGGGTTCGTGACAATAAAACTGCCGATTGAATTACCAAAATTGATACTTTAATTACCGAACACCAATTAAAACTAATACACACTAATAATTAATCACACTTAACACTTTAGTTCACTTTATTTCGCTCCGAAGTCTTCGCTTGTATCGCCAATTCAATACTGCCTCGGTCGCGGCTCTCAACGACTTTATATAGGCCTTTTCCCCCGAAACATCTAGAATGTTGCAGCAAATACCGGTCCCAACCGACTAGATGTAGAAAAATTCGAGTGTGGAGTTTTCTAGAAAGCTTAGTTCTTCTATTCGATACTAGATTATTAATCCTACAACTACCATATTTTTTCAAATAAATAACAATTAAAGATGGCGCTATTAAAAGAGTTTTAAAAAAAATCTCCCATCGTATACCGGGCATTAATTGTGACGCGCAATACTGCCCCTCCTAAGAACATGCTCGTCCAGAGCATTATCGATTCCATAGTAACGCGCCAGTCGATCCACATGAACGATCTTAGGCGTACCTCTTGCACCTTTTATATCCCGTAGGTTATGTCATTTATGCTTGGCACAATCCGGCACGGTCGTTGGTCCCCCATTTAGCTTGAAACGTAGGAGATTTGCCTTTAGTGCGGACTGGATTGCGCAACCACACTAATGAACCTTCGTCAAACCACTTGTTGTTCATTTTACGTTCATACCGGGTTTTCATCTTTTTAGACATTTGCTGGCCTGATTGTCTGACGTGCTCAAAAATGTCATTCATTTTGTTCCGCAAATCATTTGCATAATCGGTTATACTGCGTGGGGCATCAGGTGATATCCCGGTGATTAGGTCTGCAGGTAGCCGTAATTCTCCAAAAAAAAGAATCCAAAGTTTGCGAAAGCTAATGTCACTGATGTACTTTCATGAACAGCGCTTCGATATGACAACAAAAACGGTTGTATGTGCTTGTCCCAATCTCATTGCCGATATTCCACAACTTTTGCTAGGTACCTCTACAATGTCTGATTAAATCGTTCTACCATTCCATCATATTGCGGGTGGTAAGAAATCGTTCTTGTTATGTAAGGACCCATAACTCGACAAGTTTCCTGGAATATTTGAGACTCAAAATTCCTTCCTTGATCGCTGTGAATATCTCCTAAAGGTACTCCAAAACGACAGAAGACTTCATGAAATAGTTTATCTGCAACTGTTGAAGCTTCTTGATTTGGAATGGCAAATACTTCTGGCCACTTTGTGAAGTAATCCATCACAACCATGAAATACTTGTTACTACTTTCACTTTCTGGAAATGGCCCCGCCACGTCAATAGCTCTTCTCTCCTATGGTGCATCAATATTGAACAACTTCAGTGCGCCTCTACTACGAGTATGTGGTCCCTTCACAGCTGTGACAAAAACTAAAACTAATTTCTTAAATTATCATACAGTCATACTCCTAAATTATTTGAAACAATGGTTCGATTTTAGTAGAGACAACTGGCTTTCATTACTTCCTAATATAGGTAGGTTCTTTACATATGAAGTTGAATTTAAACATTTGGAAACGATAATTACAAACATAAAATTACAAGACTGATTTAATATTAAGACGGATGTTTTATATTCCAATTTGATGATACATAAATATATCCAAAGAAAATCTATTTTATAATGACAAAGAATTTTTCGGAGAAAATTACTACTGATCAAGTGGTAAATAAAAAAAATAGTACAACCTACAATATAAATAAAATGAGAACAGCATCAATGAAGTCGAAGTCATTTACAATACAACAAACGCGTTATTAAGCATAACTCAAAAACTACTGGTCAGATCTTGATAAAATTTATATGGGACCGCAGAAAAAGCACTAGCTTTTAAATAAAATAAAAAAAATCATCAAAATCGATTCACTTAGAAAATAGTTCTGTGATAACACATAAAAAAATACAGTTGAAATGAGAATTTCCTCGTTTTTTGAAGTCAACTTGCCAAATATAAAAAAATTTCTTTTTTTACTTTTTATCACCGGAATCAGGAACCACGGCTTGCACTGAAAGAGTTTTTTCGGTGATGAAAGTGAAGTTGCGAGAAGAGAGAAATACATCGTCCATAAATTTAATAAAAATTAATTATTTATGTATTTAAATCTAAACTTAATTTGTAAAGCTTTTAAGATAACAATAATTTTTAAAATGTGCTAAAAGCATAAATATAAGAAATTAGAGCAACAAACAATTTTTTTCGTACTCAAAGGAGTAAATAATTTTTTTCCTCAAATAATAGTTGGCAACCCTAGTAGTCTTATTACCTGAGGAATAAAATAACATTATCATCATTATCATCATCATTACAGCCCTTCACAAGTCCACTGCTGAACATAGGCCTCCCCCAAGTAATGCCACAAAGCACGATTCTCAGCCACTTGCATCCATCGACTTCCTGCATGTCTTACCAGGTCCTCACTCCATCTAGTGGGGGGTCGCCCTACACTACGCCTACCGGTACGAGGCTGCCACTCGAGAACCTTTCTTCCCCTCGGTTATTGGTTCATCGAGCTATATGGCCGGCCCATTGCCACTTCAGCTTACTAATCCGTTAGGCTATGTCGGTCACTCTGGTTTTACTGCGGATATCCTCATCTCCCGTCTAACAGCCATGAGATTAACACTGTGATCGGAGAGTTTTTGTGTTCTTCTGCAGCGGGTCTTGCAGAACTTAGCTCCGACCGCATGGATAGTTTCCACGAGCTTATTATACATATCGTCCACTGCATTGCAATC